AGGTCACGTGGGGCGCAGTCACGTGTCTACCCCACCTGGCAATCTTCCCATCAGCATCAGGGCCCCTGACTTCTCATCGTGAACTGTCGGGACCCGCCACGACTCTACGGACACCGCCTCTCCTCCCTCTCTCTCTCTGGTAGAGTTGGGGGGGTGGGGGTGGCTTCAGGACGACCGCAATCCCTTGCAGGACAATGTAATGACTGTGCAGGCGTTCTGGTGAGTTTGGTCAGGGCAGCACGGCGATGAGGGATGATAACCGATGGGCGCAGATGGAGCGATAAGATCGGAGCTCATGGGCAGAAAAACCTCGGTGGCTTTTTGGCATCGCAGCCATGATTGAAGGGAGGCTTTCAGCCAGCAGTGGGTAGAGCATAGCTGATGGCGTATTTGCGGATTTCGATTCGCTCTAAACTGCTGAGGAATTTTGAACGCGTATCCATTTTATGCAACTTTTATTTAAAGGTTTCAACAGTCAACACGTAACCAAACGTGGTAATTACAAAACCACATTTTACATTCCAAAAGAAGTCATTAACCAGTCCCCCAGTAGTTGACATTGGAGGTGCATTACGCTCTGCTCCAGAAATGTTTCTCTCAAAATCTTAACAACGAAATATTTTTGTTATTTTTGTTTTCACTTTTCCGGGAACCATTTTGACAAACCACATCCTCATTTATCCTTATTGGTCCTTATTTTGTCCAACGATATTTTTGTATAAAGCTCTCATCGGATTGATTGTAAGGATATATGGGTGCAATAAACATAGTGATGGAATAAAATAAAAAATAGGATTTACCCTTTCTGAGGTGTTAAGAGGTTCAAACACCAAATGGACCCCTATCACAAGGCATCCAGTCTGCACTAACCACACAGACTTGCGGTAAACCGTTGAAACAATATACTTCGGTAATGTATGCATCGTCCTTTAAACCGATTGGCCTATACAACAACATGGATTCTTATGATGAGTGTATCACGTTCGAGTTGCGGTGCCTTCTGCTAATAATTCCTAACTCCAAGCCAGCACGGTAACATTCTGTTAAACATCGAGAGGCCTGGTCGTAGGAGAGACTGTGAACACTGCTGAAATATTCTCTCTTCACGTGAATCAACATCCAAATCGGAGACTTTTGTAACATTTTAGCTGTCACAGTGTTCGCTGTTCGTAACGACACCGTACTCTTCTGCACCTCACAGCGGGGCAAATTGTCTGAAATGTTCAGTGATTAAGGTTTCAGTCGTGAGGGAGTGTCTGTTAATATTGTCGGCTTATTAAAGTTATTCACTGTTCTTGATTCTTTCGGTAAAGTCACGTAGAAGGGAAATAATAAAATAATAAAATAAAACATTATGTTTATTTTATTTTATTAAAAAATTATAATAATAATAAAATATTAAAAATAAAACGTTAAAATGTTTTCTTTTTTTAATTTTATTATTTCCCTTCTACGTGACTTTCCCGAAAGAACCAAGAAGATGAATCCCTGCAGTCACGAAAGCTTTACATCGAAATGTATTCACTTTTATGTTGTCTCCAAAGCAGTTTGTGGCATGCGGTAACCTTGATTTGTGTCCTGTTACAAGCCATGTCTCAATTTACAGAATGTAGTTTTATTAATCACACCTCATCATCACCACTCATTGTGAAATTATTTAGCCCTCTCCAGTTGATGTAATTAATGCGATGAGTGTTCTATGTTGGATCATTTAGAGGGCTTCAATCGACGGGCTTGAAAAACTCCGGCTACAGCTTATAAAACTGTCATCTCTTTACACAAAAAATGTGGTGCAGTTTGCCCTAATGACGTCATGTCACGGGATTAAGTGTCCATTACAATCTTGTCGGAGAACAGAGCATCACCCCGTGTTAGAGAACAACCCGCAGAAGCATGCTACGTGGAACTACCACCAGGAGCCACAGCTTCCCTACACGCATGGCGAACAAACCAATATATATCTTCTCGGTTCATTCGGTAAAGTCACGTAGAAGGGAAATAATAAAATAATAAAAATAAAACAATACAATTCTCACGACGTTTCGGCCACAACGCAAGAAGCCGTTCTCAGGTGAAGAACAGGTCTGTCGGGAAGACAGCGTCTGAATGAAACACCCCAGGCTTGGAGCGTATATTTAAGCTGGGTTGGAGGAGGAAGAGCGCCTTGACAAAATAATTTGCATATCAAGAGGAATTTTGCATATTTATGGGAAATGCAGATATGGGATTAGTCACTACTTGTGAAATGCGTAGGAGGTGGGCAGGGGTTTTTAAAGTCATATTATGCCCGTGCATTATGCCGGATTAGCAGCATGAAAGGGAGGGGATAGGGGTAACATTAATAAAGGGAAGGAATGTTTTTATTATTTTAATATTTCCCTTCTACCGAAAGAACCATGAAGATGAATCCCTGCAGTCACGAAAGCTTTAAATCGAAATTCAAACCAATATTTTTAATTCTGAGACCCAGAATTATTTGACTAATCAACTTCAAGATGGCAAATTTCTTGCAGTCAACTCACTGGACTTAAGAAGCCAATGTATCCACGCTTGGGCAGCTGACACATGGATTTAAATGCAACATCTCTTTGGTTGCTATATCAATGTTTCTGAGCCCTGAGCCAATTTCAGTAGAAGACCTCCTCAAATTTCGATTTAAAGCTTTCGTGACTGCAGGGATTCATCTTCTTGGTTCTTTCGGTAAAGTCACGTAGAATGGAAATAATAAAAATAAAACATAATAAAATAATATAATAAAAGATTTTATTAGGCTTAAATTGTATAATTATATAATTTTTATTATTTATAATAATATATTTAATGTTTTATTTTTATTATTTTATTATTTCCATTCTACGTGACTTTACCGAAAGAACCAAGAAGATGGACGTCCTCAAACTTGGTTTTTTGACTAACATGACCATTTCAAAGGCCCTTCCCCCCATCTTGTTCGACCACATTCAGTCCGCCGCCGCCGTCGCGCGTGCATTCTCACCGACCCTCCTGGCGACGCTCCCTTTGCGCAAACCCCCAGCAGCATCTCCAGCTGCCTCTCCAACCTCCTCGCCCGCTTCGTCTCGTTCCCCCCACGCTGCCTGCGCCCTTCCCGCTGCCGCCGCCGCCGCCTCGCGGCACCGGCCAGAAGCTTCCAGATGTAGGCGGCCTCCTTCGTGTCGTGGTGGGCCAGGCACGGCAGAATCAGGTGACGGACGCTGTCCACGAATCGCAGGGTCGCGTCCACGCACGCGTACTCCGGCTGGGGCGGCGGGTTAGACGACGGAGCTCGGCACCATCTTCCCCTGCGGAGGGAAGAGAGGTGACGCGTCTTGCTACCGGCATACGACGTTTCGATTGCAACACAAGCAATCGTCATCAGGTGTAAATGAAATGCAATCACCCAGTACGGCATCTACTGCCCTCCGAAGCCAGCAGCTGCTTCTCCGACTATGCCATCGATCTACGGTTGCCGCTAAAACGATACGTCCGTATGAAACACGTGAACGAGAGAGCGGTCATCGCAAGCGGCTCACCTGCCGGCCTCGCGTCGCCATGCTCCCGACTCCGCACGGACGCCCGTCGCTCGTGGCAGGACCAGCAGAGCGCGTCGTGCGTGGAGGCCCGGGCAGCAGCTGCACGGAGCCCGGAGTGAAGCAGTTTGTGTGCGGGCGGCACGCGGCATCGCCGATACCTCCGGGGAGAAGAATCCCCAAGGGCACGGGGCGCAGTGCGTGTCTTCGTGCGGGGATCCTGCGGTGCCGAGCAGAGCGTGAGATGGGGGTGCACGGGCAGACAGAGAGAGAGAATGTAGAGATGCGTAGAGAGAGAGAAAGATGAGAAGAGAATAGGCATTGATTGGCGCTGGGAGATGGCTGGGAGATAGCTGGGCGATGGGAAAGTGGTGATAAGATTCCCCGGCTTGACGACTAAATACATTTACAAATGACACATTTATAAATAACGCGACCTAACCCAAGAACCTTTATTATGAACAAATGAATGATCATCAGACGGATGCATGTAGGAACCAATTAATGTCCGAGTGGGGTAGAAAGCTCGTGCTGGGCACGCAGAAGCTCTATCCCGATGGGCAACTGGTGATTGGAGCCAACAGAACAAATGAAATAATGCGCAAATGATTTCACCTCTCCACGAATGAATAGGTCATGTGCACTCGCGCCTTTAGCGAGGACATCCTGCCCGTGCATGTACGAGCCGAGCGACATGCAGAACCAAGTACTACAATGAATGAAGAATGCATGAATGGGGAGTGTGGGCGTTCGTGCATTTTTGTTGATGGGGGAAGGTCACGGGGAAGGAACTGTCATCGATTCAACTAATTAAATAAGACGCAATAATTGAGTAGCGTCTTGGTACGAGCGAATCGATCGCCGAATGAACCGCAACGACACACGTGGTGTATCCCCCCGCCCCCGTGCGTGCCTTTGGTGACGACGCCGTGCCCGGCGGCGCAGCTTCTGTGCGGCACGCAGAACTCCTGCAGCAGGAAGGTGCCCGGCTCGCACTCGCACACGCGGTCGTGCGTGGGGCTGCATTCCTTCGCGAGCCGCTGACCCTCCTTGCACCCCGGGCCGCAGTAGAGACACCGGTCCAGGGAGTTCCAGAACTGGGTGTAGTGGCGTGGCGGGCACCGAGTGCAACGTGCCTCCACGTGGGACGCGTCCTCCAGCTGCTGCTGCTGCCCCTCCACGGCCTTCGTGGAGAACGGCAGCGAGACGCGGTGGCCCGGGGGACACAGCCCGTACGGATGGGACGGAGAAGGCTTCTTCGCGTCGTCTGCCGACACCGTCGACGCCGCTGCCGCCCCCGTCGTCGCCACCAGCAGCATTGTCGCGATGACGGTGGTCATCGTCGTCGTCATTGTCGCTGGCGTAGCCCCGACGCGACCTGCGAAGGGGGGTGCGGGAGGAGCGCGCACGGTTGTGTTCAAGCGCAGGTGGAGACGTGACGTCGTCGGTGCGTGGTCACGCGACCGGTGAGAGATGGCCGTGGATGGGGGAGGTCTTCATTTCCGCGGAGGATCGAGCGTGGCTGACGACAACGACGACGACGATGTGGAGATCAGCAGGCAGGGGTATCGCCGGCCATTCGATCAGCAGCGCAGAGAGACGCAACGAGACGAAGGGAAAACGACCGAATTCAAGCGCGAGTTCACAGTCGATGGGGATAAAAAATGACACGAATGATCCATTCTTCTGGAATCTTCTCGACACAATCGGATCGTGGTGGGAGGGGATGGGAGGACTCTTGGGAGTGCAGGATGCATGCTGAGTGGATCATGGCACCACCAGTGCCACATCCTGCCGCACAGACACATCAACACTGCACCATAGACTCAACACTGCACCATAGACTCAACACTGCACCATAGACTCAACACTGCACCATAGACTCAACACTGCACCATAGACTCAACACTGCACCATAGACTCAACACTGCACCATAGACTCAACACTGCACCATAGACTCAACACTGCACCATAGACTCAACACTGCACCATAGACTCAACACTGCCCATAGACTCAACACTGCACCATAGACTCAACACTGCACCATAGACTCAACACTGCCCATAGACTCAACACTGCACCATAGACTCAACACTGCCCATAGACTCAACACTGCACCATAGACTCAACACTGCACCATAGACTCAACACTGCCCATAGACTCAACACTGCACCATAGACTCAACACTGCACCATAGACTCAACACTGCACCATAGACTCAACACTGCACCATAGACTCAACACTGCACCATAGACTCAACACTGCACCATAGACTCAACACTGCACCATAGACTCAACACTGCACCATAGACTCAACACTGCACCATAGACTCAACACTGCACCATAGACTCAACACTGCACCATAGACTCAACACTGCACCATAGACTCAACACTGCACCATAGACTCAACACTGCACCATAGACTCAACACTGCACCATAGACTCAACACTGCCCATAGACTCAACACTGCACCATAGACTCAACACTGCCCATAGACTCAACACTGCACCATAGACTCAACACTGCACCATAGACTCAACACTGCACCATAGACTCAACACTGCACCATAGACTCAACACTGCACCATAGACTCAACACTGCACCATAGACTCAACACTGCACCATAGACTCAACACTGCCCATAGACTCAACACTGCACCATAGACTCAACACTGCACCATAGACTCAACACTGCCCATAGACTCAACACTGCACCATAGACTCAACACTGCACCATAGACTCAACACTGCACCATAGACTCAACACTGCACCATAGACTCAACACTGCACCATAGACTCAACACTGCACCATAGACTCAACACTGCCCATAGACTCAACACTGCACCATAGACTCAACACTGCCCATAGACTCAACACTGCCCATAGACTCAACACTGCACCATAGACTCAACACTGCACCATAGACTCAACACTGCACCATAGACTCAACACTGCCCATAGACTCAACACTGCCCATAGACTCAACACTGCACCATAGACTCAACACTGCCCATAGACTCAACACTGCCCATAGACTCAACACTGCACCATAGACTCAACACTGCCCATAGACTCAACACTGCCCATAGACTCAACACTGCCCATAGACTCAACACTGCACCATAGACTCAACACTGCACCATAGACTCAACACTGCCCATAGACTCAACACTGCCCATAGACTCAACACTGCACCATAGACTCAACACTGCACCATAGACTCAACACTGCACCATAGACTCAACACTGCACCATAGACTCAACACTGCACCATAGACTCAACACTGCACCATAGACTCAACACTGCACCATAGACTCAACACTGCACCATAGACTCAACACTGCACCATAGACTCAACACTGCACCATAGACTCAACACTGCACCATAGACTCAACACTGCACCATAGACTCAACACTGCACCATAGACTCAACACTGCCCATAGACTCAACACTGCACCATAGACTCAACACTGCACCATAGACTCAACACTGCACCATAGACTCAACACTGCACCATAGACTCAACACTGCCCATAGACTCAACACTGCCCATAGACTCAACACTGCACCATAGACTCAACACTGCCCATAGACTCAACACTGCCCATAGACTCAACACTGCACCATAGACTCAACACTGCACCATAGACTCAACACTGCCCATAGACTCAACACTGCCCATAGACTCAACACTGCCCATAGACTCAACACTGCACCATAGACTCAACACTGCACCATAGACTCAACACTGCACCATAGACTCAACACTGCACCATAGACTCAACACTGCACCATAGACTCAACACTGCCCATAGACTCAACACTGCACCATAGACTCAACACTGCACCATAGACTCAACACTGCACCATAGACTCAACACTGCACCATAGACTCAACACTGCACCATAGACTCAACACTGCACCATAGACTCAACACTGCACCATAGACTCAACACTGCCCATAGACTCAACACTGCACCATAGACTCAACACTGCCCATAGACTCAACACTGCCCATAGACTCAACACTGCACCATAGACTCAACACTGCACCATAGACTCAACACTGCCCATAGACTCAACACTGCCCATAGACTCAACACTGCACCATAGACTCAACACTGCACCATAGACTCAACACTGCCCATAGACTCAACACTGCCCATAGACTCAACACTGCACCATAGACTCAACACTGCACCATAGACTCAACACTGCACCATAGACTCAACACTGCACCATAGACTCAACACTGCACCATAGACTCAACACTGCACCATAGACTCAACACTGCACCATAGACTCAACACTGCACCATAGACTCAACACTGCACCATAGACTCAACACTGCACCATAGACTCAACACTGCACCATAGACTCAACACTGCACCATAGACTCAACACTGCACCATAGACTCAACACTGCCCATAGACTCAACACTGCACCATAGACTCAACACTGCACCATAGACTCAACACTGCACCATAGACTCAACACTGCACCATAGACTCAACACTGCCCATAGACTCAACACTGCCCATAGACTCAACACTGCACCATAGACTCAACACTGCCCATAGACTCAACACTGCACCATAGACTCAACACTGCACCATAGACTCAACACTGCACCATAGACTCAACACTGCACCATAGACTCAACACTGCACCATAGACTCAACACTGCACCATAGACTCAACACTGCACCATAGACTCAACACTGCACCATAGACTCAACACTGCCCATAGACTCAACACTGCCATAGACTCAACACTGCCCATAGACTCAACACTGCACCATAGACTCAACACTGCACCATAGACTCAACACTGCCCATAGACTCAACACTGCACCATAGACTCAACACTGCACCATAGACTCAACACTGCACCATAGACTCAACACTGCACCATAGACTCAACACTGCCCATAGACTCAACACTGCCCATAGACTCAACACTGCACCATAGACTCAACACTGCCCATAGACTCAACACTGCCCATAGACTCAACACTGCACCATAGACTCAACACTGCACCATAGACTCAACACTGCCCATAGACTCAACACTGCCCATAGACTCAACACTGCCCATAGACTCAACACTGCACCATAGACTCAACACTGCACCATAGACTCAACACTGCACCATAGACTCAACACTGCACCATAGACTCAACACTGCACCATAGACTCAACACTGCACCATAGACTCAACACTGCACCATAGACTCAACACTGCACCATAGACTCAACACTGCACCATAGACTCAACACTGCACCATAGACTCAACACTGCCCATAGACTCAACACTGCACCATAGACTCAACACTGCCCATAGACTCAACACTGCCCATAGACTCAACACTGCACCATAGACTCAACACTGCACCATAGACTCAACACTGCACCATAGACTCAACACTGCACCATAGACTCAACACTGCACCATAGACTCAACACTGCACCATAGACTCAACACTGCACCATAGACTCAACACTGCCCATAGACTCAACACTGCACCATAGACTCAACACTGCCCCTCAACACTGCCATAGACTCAACACTGCCCATAGACTCAACACTGCACCATAGACTCAACACTGCCCATAGACTCAACACTGCACCATAGACTCAACACTGCACATGCAAATCATTTATCATCAAAAAACCATGGCAACCGCATCAAAAAATCCATGGCAACCGCATCAAAAATCCATGGCAACCGCATCAAAAATCCATGGCAACCGCATCAAAAATCCATGGCAACCGCATCAAAAATCCATGGCAACCGCCTTCACCCCCCCCCCTCAAATGGGGGCGGGCGAGGGGAGGAGCCGAAAAGATTTGGCGGGAAACAAACTCCGCGTCACGTGGGAGGGGAGACACCCAAAACCTGTTTGTCTCCAAGGCGGGAGGCGATTTTGAGGAAATATTTTAAAGCACAAATTACAAACTCAACAATAAAATCCCGATTTATTGGTTCTCTCGGTAAAGTCACGTAGAAAGGAAGTAATAAACTAATTAAAATTAAACAATATACAATAATTGTATTCTAAATATTTTATTATAATATAAAGCAATTTTATTGTTTAATTTGTATTATTTCCCTTCTACGTGACTTTACCGAAAGAACCAAGAAAATAAAACTCCCATATTGTTGATTCTTTCGGTAAAGTCACGTAGAAGGGAAATAATAAACATTTTACATAATACAAATTTAACTATACAATAATTTACTATTATAATAAAATTATTTTATTGCTTTATTTAAATTATTTCCCTTCTACGTGACTTTAAGAATATGAATCTCTGCAGTTTTATTGTTGAAGTACATTAATACGGAAATATCAAAAGAATATTTTAATGAAAATTTCACCTCAAACGCGATGGCGGAATTTCGAATCCTTCCCGACTCCAGAATCGATGTGCGGCTTATCACCAAATCGATTTCTCTCAATCTGGGACTGCAATAACAAACGATTATAGAATCGATCATCGATTCACAACGCCCCTTTCTTTTACAGCGGTTGAATCGAGTTGCGTTTTGTTCAAGAATCGAATCGATGACAACGCGGTCTGAGTGGCTAAGCCAATAGAAGCGCCGTCCAATCAGAGGCGATGGTGGCTCTAGGTGCACGTAGCCTGGCACCAGCTCCACTGATTATTTAAACCGGTCCCGGGCCTCCCCTAGGTCGCCTCAGCCTCAAAGCAGTAGCTGGTGTGGTGTGTGAACATCGCCACTGGGGAGACAAAGGCGGCCTGGTAGTAGAGCGAGTAATATACGTCAAGGACGTTATTATATATATATTTATTTTTTAAAATTAAGTAATTTTAATGCTTTGTAAATAAAAACAACAATTTGCTAAACCTTGGTCACAATATCTGGACTTGCCTTCATGTAAATCAACGCATAGATTTCTGTTGATATGATTGTGGTTGTACTTTATTAATCCGTAATCTCAAACATTACATACAATAAAGCAAGAAATGGTTAAAAAAAAAGTTAAACAGAGCAATGTAATACAATACACTATTAGACTTTATTGTAAAAAAATATAATTATAAAAGTCCATCCCATGTGTTGGTGAATTTGTAAATGTTTTAGGCAGGAAATGGCAGGAAATTAGTTTTCAAATTTAGATATTTTTCTGGGGAGGGGACCCCAGACACCTGGAAAATCTGCCCCCCCCCCAATGTTGTCTCCACGGCTACAGCCTTGCACTACACTATACACTACTATACACTACTACTATACACTACTACACTATACACTACACTATACACTACTACTATACACTACTACACTTACACTACACTATCACTACACTATACACTACTACACTATACACTACACTATACACTACTACACTATACACTACACTATACACTACACTATACACTACTACACTATACACTACCTATACACTACACTATACACTACACTATACACTACACTATACACTACTACACTATACACTACACTATACACTAATATACACTACACTATACACTACTACACACTACACTATACACTACACTATACACTACTACACTATACACTACACACTACTACACTATACACTACACTATACACTACTACACACTACACTATACACTACTACACTATACACTACACTACACACTACACTATACACTACACTATACACTACTACACTATACACTACTATACACTACACTATCACTACTATACACTACACTATACACTACTACACACTACACTATACACTACACGATACCTTACCTATGAAAGTCATCTTTCGTCTGTGTGTCTGTCTGCCTGTTTTGCGGCGGTACCTTGTGACGTGTTTCACTTACAAACTGTGGGGTTTTACGCATCGAAAAAGTACACAGATACCACACCGTATGCCCCGCGACGGAAAAGCGCTATTCGTATTTCACATCTGTCAAGTTTAAAGTGGTTAAATTAACAATGTATTCCCTTTCATTAGCACAGGGTGGTGCCAGGCCACGCATCTGCGCATGCGCGAGAAAGTCGCCTCCGCTGAGGTGAATTCTTCAGTGTGATCGGTGGGGGGAATTCTGAGGTGAATTCTTCAGTGTGATGTCCTCTTCTCCCAATGTGTGCAGCACTTACTACTATAGGGTCGGTAGCAGAGGTTGCAACCGGGTACCCGATACCCGTACCCTACCCGATACCCGGCTACCCGTACGGGTACGGGTACCGTTTGCGACCCTGGTGCGGCCGGGTACGGGTAGACCGTGAGTCATTGGTGAGTAACTGTTTGTCACTCATTTCCCAACGTCTTGTCTCTTCTCACAATTCAAGTTCCTAGAATCAACCCACTGGCGCCTGCAACATGGCTTCATCCCAGAGGTCGCAATCAGGTACCCGATACCCGTACCCTACCCGTACCCGGCCGGGTACGGGTACGGGTACCCGTTTGCGACCTTGGTGCGACCGGGTACGGGTAAGGAATCAAAACCCGTTTGTGACCTCTGGTCGGTAGATACTACTATTATAGTCCTTGGATGAAATTATTGTAGAGCGGGTGGGGGATGGTGGTGGGGGGGGTTGCCCAGCACAGCCTGCAGAGGTGCCACTCGGCCAGCTGGCAATCTAGGCGAGGCTAGGGGCTCTGCACGGGACTAACCCTCACCACTACACGCTGTGAAGTTAGTACTATTATAGAGTTTGGATAGCTACTACTACAGCCGGTGGATAAACTATACACTACACTATACACTCCACAGTAGTGCCGTACTGCGTAATGAATTGGCACGGTCTGTTCCTGTTGTACTAAACCTAACTAAATGGCTGTGTCGGGTGGTGGCGGGTTTAACGACGGTGCAACATTTATATATTTATTATTTATCTATTTGGTTGTCTACGTTCATTGTCGTTGTTTTTCTTTGCATTCCCCCGCCAGATTCGTCAAGCAAGAAATGGACGATAATGCAGCACTTGGGAAGCGGCCAGACTCTACGGAGAGCCTGCAAGACATCGATGCTGGTGAGCACGGTGGCACCACGGTGGATAGCAGACGTTGACTACCTCGCCTGGGATACAGGAGGTCGTGGGTTCGATCTCTCTCTCATCATCATCATCACGGTGGCTATGAGACGTTGACTACCTCGCCTGGTATACAGGAGGTCCTGGGTACGATCCCGACCCTGACGCCTGTTGTACAATGCTCCCACCACACCGTCCTCCCCGCCCGTCCGTACCTTTGCAGCAGACAAGAAGACTGCAAGCGCTGCCGGTGACAAGCGGCACGCGTGCGGGCAGTGCGGCTTTCCCCACTTCGAGACGCACACGGGCGAGAAGCAGTACGTGTACGCCGTGTGCGGCAAGGGCTTCGCGCACGACTTCAACTTGAACCTGCGAGTGAGGTCGCATACGGACGAGGTCGTACGTTTGCGAGGAGTCGGAAGGGTTGCCGCAGGCCTGCAACTTGAACCTGCGAGTGAGGTCGCATACGGACGAGAGGTCGTACGTTTGCGAGGAGTACGGGAAGGGTCCGCGCAGGCCTGCAACTTGAACCTGCGAGTGAGGTCGCACACGGACGAGAGGTCGTACGTTTGCGAGAGTACGGGAAGGGCTCCGCGCAGGCCTGCAACTTGAACCTGCGAGTGAGGTCGCACACGGACGAGAGGTCGTACGTTTGCGAGAAGTACGGGAAGGGTTCCGCGCAGGCCTGCAACTTGAACCTGCGAGTGAGGTCGCACACGGACGAGAGGCCGTACGTTTGCGAGAGTACGGGAAGGGCTCCGCGCAGGCCTGCAACTTGAACCTGCGAGTGAGGTCGCACATGGACGAGAGGTCGTACGTTTGCGAGAGTACGGGAAGGGTTCCGCGCAGGCCTGCAACTTGAACCTGCGAGTGAGGTCGCACACGGACGAGAGGCCGTACGTTTGCGAGGAGTACGGGAAGGGCTCCGTGCAGGCCTGCAACTTGAACCTGCGAGTGAGGTCGCACATGGACGAGAGGCCGTACGTTTGTGAGGATTGCGGGAAGAGTTTTCCCGGCTGCTCCGACATGAAGAGGCACGCCAGGACGCACGCGGGCGAGAGAACGTACGTGTGCGACGAGTGCGGGCAGGGGTTCACGCAGGTGGACAGCTTGCACGTGCACGCAAGGAAGCACACGGGGGAGAGGCCGTACGTGTGCGCAGTGTGCGGCAAGGGGTTTGCTTTGCGTCGCCACCTTCAGCGGCACTCGGTGACTCACGGGGAGTGAGTCTAGCTAGGGAGGGGGTCTAACCGAATACCGTTTGGTGGTGCACACTGGGAGGCACGCACGCGGCCGTGAGAGGCTGTGAGCTCGGGGGGCGTCGGGAATTATTTCAAGAAACAAATCTACACTACTATACACTACACTACTATACACTACACTAACTATACACTATACACTGCACTACTATACACTACACTACTATACACTACACTACTATACACTACACTACTATACACTGTACACTACACTACTATACACCACTACTATACACTATACTATACACTACACCACTATACACTACACTACTATACACTACACCACTATACACTACACTACTATACACTACACTACAATACACTACTATACACTACACTACTATACACTACACTACTATACACTACACTATACACTACTATACACTACACTACTATACTCTACACTACTATACACTACACTACTATACACTACACTATTATACACTACACTATACACTACACTACTATACACTACACTACTATACACTACACCACTATACACTACACTACTATACACTACACTATACACTACACTACTATACACTACACTATACACTACACTACTATACACTATACACTACTATACACTACACTATACACTACTATACACTACTATACACTACACTACTATACACTATACACTACTATACACTACACTATACACTACACTACTATACACTACACTACTATAACTATACACTATAATGACGATGGTAAATAAAGTGCTATGACTTGCGCAGAGAACTTGGATTGAAGTGAGGGTGATTTGCGCAGCGTCAACCTCACTCTCTCGACCAGCCGCATCTGTACCCAGTGGCGAGACGTAGTCAAGACGACTGGAGATGGTCCTGGTTGCAGTGGAACTGTGGAAGGTCCAAAGACCCGTTTTGGTGGAATTTCCTCCACCAGGGGTTCCACACGCCCAGGCTCAGACTAGCCGAGTTGCCGGGTTAGTTATCCGCCGCCCGGGGTTCGGCGTTGGCAGCTGCTGACTGTAGCGACTCACCAGGGATGTTGAGCTGGTGTGCGCCTACGGTAGCAGCTAGAGGGCCGGGCCAGATGGAACAAGCCAGAGGCACAACTAGCTGGTCAGACACAAATTAACACAGTACACACATACACTGTACACACACACAGTACAGACATACACTGGTACACACACACAGTACACACACACTACACACACACTACACACACACTACACACACACACTGTACACACACACAGTACACACACACTACACACACACACTGTACACACACACAGTACACACACACACAGTACATACACAGTGTACACACAGAGTACACACACAGAGTACACACACAGTACACACACAGTACACACACACTACACACACAGTACACACACTACACACACTAGCAATCTAAAGCAACGCAGTAAATTCAAAGAAGCAATGTTCTAAAGCCAACAGCCGGTCAACTTTAATCTTCGCCAGACACTTCACCACGGCCAATGCGCCAATATAAATTCCGCAACATTTAATGCTGCCTTGTGAAATACAAACACAACTCAATTAAATTGTCATGTCCATGCTCATTTCAGATTAAGACCGGTCGCACAAAAGCACCCT